TGGGAAGGATGACCGCAGGTTGAAAGTTAAAGACGGTTCGTGGACCGGTTGGATAGCCTCCAAGTCTCCGAATATCGTTTGTGAACTTCTGACCTAATACTCCGCGGATTGTCTGCCGAACGTGAACGGTGCGCGTGTGAGAACCAGGCTGGATTTCGATCTGGTTAAGGTTGTGTGGACCACATTTTACCCTTCGCCGAAGTCTAGAACACCGATATTCTTTTCGTGGACCCACCATTTCTATTTTCCTCGATCTGAAAACAGCTCCCCACTCACTCCCCCGTTCTTAGCTCATACCCTTCTTGATAGATGCACGCCCTAGAATTATATTTCAATATTACGATCGCAGTATACCTACTTTACAGTGGCCCACTCTCGAGATAAGAAAGTCCGGCTTCATAGATATGCCGAATCGCAGCTGCTCACACTTGGCGATCAGCAGCAAGATCAGTACAGTGTGATTCAGCCTGACTTCCATTGTTGACTACCGTATACGGATCGAAGGTAAAAGTCTTTTGCGTCCTTGCATACGGTGTCTAGCTACGTTTTCAGAAGTTATAGGATTTTTAAAGCCGTAATCTCATTTTCACTTAGCCGCGTTCAATGTCCGCACATTCTATCAGATTGGTCAGCAAGCTGCCTTGGCTAGAATCCTCGAAGCTTTCAACTTAGATGTTTGCTGAAACACGCATACAAGATCCCACTTCTATTATCTCCCTGCGTTCTCCTAATCCAACTTCAACCTCAAGCTTCACCCTTCGTTTGTCAGGTGATTAGGCATTCGAAGCTCGCGGTGCCGCTGTTGTTGGGATTGTGCTAATTCCAAGACGGAGTGCTCGCTTCTTGACTGGATTCCAGTCAGCAGCCGATTGTGCGCTGTGGGTCTCAATGGTTCAGCACGGGTCAACAGCTACAGAATGAAGCGTCGATGCTTGTTCGTCGTATCGGTGTATGCACCGACCGATTGCAGTACACCTGAAATCAAGAATGAATTCTATAAGGATGTTTCACAATTATTCCAAAGTGTTCGATCAACGGACGTCGTAATAGTCGCCGGAGACTTCAATGCTCAATGGGATCCCCGGATGAATCAGAAAGGCTTCTTGGTGGACTGAATGCAATCCCAGCCAACCGGAAGGACAGCGGGGATCGCCCACTTAAACTCTGCACGGACCACGAATTATTCCTGGCAAACACGAACTTCTCACACAAGAAACGCCGTCGACTTACATGGAAACCGCCAATCTCTTCACTGCGCTGAACCCAGATCGACCACGTCGCCATCAGTTACCGCTGAAGGAGATCAATTCAAAACTGTCGCTCAAACCGGTCAACAGCTGTGGATGCAGACCACGCCTTGTTACGAGCTAAATTCTACTTACACCTGGCAAACAATCATAAAACAGCCACCGACAACGAATGCCCGCGATACAGCGTCAGCGATTGCTGCAAATCGACCTTTGAAGCGGAACTCTCCGATCGACTATCAGTTCAACTATCGGTCGAAGGACTCAATGAATATAGGAAACAAATGAATAGAAGATATGTAAATATCAATAAAAACAACGGCGAACCCCGGCGCAGGTTCAAAACACAAACGATGGATCTCGTCGACCTCGGCGGCCCTGCTGGACGCCTGTAGAACCCTCCCTCCCGATGCCATTTATGACAGCGCGCAAATTCCTTAAACGCCAGCTCATCGAGTCTGAGGAATGACCGCGAGAAGTGGTGGATAGGAAAGTGTAAACAGATGGAGAAGGCTGTGGCCATTGGTAATAGTCGCAATCTTTTCCGTCTAATAAAGTATACTGGCCCCAGGAAAGTAGACGTGAGGTAACTCAGGAATCCGTTGGCACACTGATTCAAGATCAGCAACGCCGTCTTGATCGATGGGCTGAACACTTCAAAGCCCAGTTCAGCTGGCCCGCAGCCACACCTGATCTTGCAAACTCCACCTTGAATGGGCAGATACTGCCAGTTAATGGTAGTCCTCCATCTGAAATGGAGGTTACCCGACAAATAAGTTACATCAAACGGCAGAAGCTTTCCGGATCCGACGGGCTGTCCCCAACGGTTTTTAAGGATGGAAGTTCAGCCTTGGTTTTGCAATTAACAAAACTCCTGGGCTCACTGTGGGAGAGGGAAGAGGTTCCAGCTGAATGGTGTGAATCGGTGATTATACCGATTTACAAGAAATGTGACAGGTCCTCCTGTCAAATCACAGAGGAATTAATTTAATCAACATCTTTAAACTTCTCGCCGGTATCACACTCCGATCATTGTCTGCCGAACGTGAACGGCATGGTCGGGGGTGGGTGTATGGGGTTGAGGCTGGTCACCCCTCCCTTGCACCTCTCGAAATGCTCCCATATGATCAAGCGTCTTAAATAGCCTCTGCTGAGGATATCTTATTCACTGCCTTCTCGTGGCGGTGTTTTCCCACCAAAGTGAGAGGACGAAGAGCCGACATCCGGGGCTATAACCGGGTTGGTGGATCACTGGTAGTCCACCTAGGGGAGTTGGCCAAACACCTTGATTCCAAACCAACCACGTGGGGCATGCGAACCACACACACAACTTCCTGGTTGTGACAATGGTCACCGGCTCGATTGGACATTGAGGTGTATTGGGCACTTTGGACGTCTGAACCCGTCCAAAGGGGGTATGATCCAATAAACTGAACACCGGCTCGAAA